TATTTTGCTACACAACTTTTGTCCCACATCACCTGGAAGGCCAAATTTGTGCTCAATGCGTTCTTTGGACATTTTACTTTAAATTCCACCCCTCAAATTCATTCACTTATGATCGGACTCCTAGCTAGGAAGTGATTAGTGAGGCAATTGCAAATGGGGCATTTTGCCCCAACCCCAGGGCAAAACGCCCCACGGCCTGGGGCAAGAAGCCCCATACTCTAGATTAAAGATTTAACATGCTAGTTGACTTAAATCTTATATGAGAGGTCTGTTAGACCTTGGGAAGCACGGCACTGAAGTTAGCTCCTTCCACCCTATCAGGTGTTCAGCTACGACACTATTGTATGAGCACCTGCCTCATAAGGCCAAATAATAAATTATTGGAATGGAAATGTTAACAAAATACTTCCTTTGCCATCCAGTTATTGAGAAAAGTACATATAAATGCATAGAAACTTACTGTTAGCCAGCTACCGAACATTAGAAAGTGGGTAGTCCGAACAACACATGAGGTAAAACGCCCCATGGGGCGTTTTGCCCCGCGACTTACTGGGGCGTTTTACCCCACCCCGTAGTTCGGTCAGAGAACAACGCCTTGCACTCCAGCGAGGCATAATTTAACACGAACCAAGCCGGCATTATAAACGTTAGATAAAGTTGTTCGAAATACATAAAAGTCGTTTAACCCTCGCCGGACCTATTGGTTTTCTACATACGCGCCGGCCGAGGGGGGGGGGGGGGCGGGTACGACCCCCCCTCGCCGTTTCGCCCCTGGTGGAGCTAGCGCGTCGCGGAAAAAACGAGCGTGTGCGCCGTTACGAGACGCAGAGATTGGTACCCGATTTTAAGGTCCTAGGTCAACTGGTGACCTCTGAGGTCAGGTCAAGTGCCCCAGGGTACGGTTCAGTTTTTGGTGAATAACTTCGCAAAAAACGGCCGCAGAGCCGCGATTTTGGCAGCATCGTGTTCGCCTCGCTCAGGCGCGTCGAATGATATACTTTTTGTTCGTTTCAGGTCAACTTAGGGTGTTGACCTCAGGTCAAGGTCAGGTCAGCACCCCCAGGTCACGAAGTTGGTCGAAAGAGGTCATGTTGCATATCATTCGATTCGGCAGGTCTTCCTGAGTCCATTGGTGGCTTTCTCGACTCGCTAGCTCAATTTGATCGGGAGTTATTGACGAAAAACTGATATGACCTTGATGACGTCATAAATGACGTCACGCAAGGTCAACATTGCAAAAGTGACGCATCTAACCTTGCAAGGAGTGCATCACATCACGATTCTGTGTGCTTGAGATAGTTGGAGATCGTTCCCGGCGCCAGAATAGCAGTTTTCGTTTTTCCCCATTGACTTATAATGGTGAGGTCACGAAAATGACCTGACCTCATATGACCTTTAGGAAAAATCCGAGATATACAAGTTGTGAGACTCATAATGGATACTAGATCCTGCAAGTTTCATTTCCCTGTGACATCTCCTCTGGCAGTGAGGGCGTTGCGAAGTTGCGACATCTGAAGACCGTGCAGAGGTTCACTTATGACGTCATAGGTCAGTGACCTGACCTGACCCAAAAATGCGGTTGGTGTCAAAAGATGCGGCTTGGATCAAAGGTCAGGTATGCCAAGTTTCAGCTCTCTATTGCCAGCGTGTTCGGAGCTATGGCGAAAAAACCCTATGGGGGGGGGGGCGGCACCCGCCCCCCCCCTCGGCCGGCGAGGGTTAACCCGATGTGGACCATAAAAGAACGCCATGATGCATAAGCTGACAACAAAACATAAAAATCACTCCAAAAACACATTTTTGGCTATATCTCCCTAAAGAGTCATCACAATTTCTTTCCAGTCTGCTCATATAATGATCATATAGTGCACGTTTTATAGAAGAGATGATGTTTTTCCAGAACCTTGCCAGTTCCGAGAAACATCGGTGAGGCGTTTTACCTCGGCGGGGCGACTTGCCCCGGTCTACCCTACCACCGCGTGCTACCAAACGTTTTAGTAAAAGATTTAAAAATCGTTAGATCTCCGCTGACGTCACAAATTCTAAGGGGGCATACCAATGCACTAGCCCTTAGAATCCGAAAACTGCAAGTTTGAAACTCCATATCTCCGAATTAAAGCATTTGTCGATGTTGTGAGTGCCCAAACCGGTATTTACAGGTCATGGCCACCAATTTGGCTATCTCAACTCAAAACTAATGTTAACCCGCGCCCCGTAGGGGGGGGGGGCCGAAACGGCCCCCCTGTCCTTTTCGGTCGATATCTCCTAAACGGCTGGAGATATCGCCACCAAACTTTCAGGACCCCTCCGGGCATCAATTTTACACATTGTGACCAAAAATTTTTCCAGAGGCTGTGATAGGTTGGCCACAAATGACGTCAGAGTGACGTCATGTTCTGTCATTTTCGACCGAAAAAAGACCTTCGCGAGAAGACCTGTCAGGCCTACAGCTTTAAAGATACAGAAAAATGATCAAGACATAAAAGGTGTAGAATTAACAGGGCTACAAAACTGCTATCTCGGATTTTTGAAATTTTTGAGTTTTGATCCCAAAAATCAAAAAAACATTTTTTTTGGATATATTAGCCAAAAAATCCAAAAAGTTTTTTGAGTTTCGAAAAAACCGGAATAGGTATATGTGATAGTACCTACCGTCTTCTATCTACATACCAAATTTCAGATCGATATCTCGTTTTTTGGCCAAGTTATAGCGAAAAAACTGTTCAAAAATGATGACGTCAAATTTTCAAACTCAATTTTTGGCAATTCTAGAAATCGTAGAGCAAAACAAAGACCACCATTAGACTCCCCGTGACGAGCTGCATCGAATGGATACCTATTTTATGCAAAAATATCAACTTTGAAATTTGACCTAATTTGACCTGACCTTGACCTGACCTTCACCAAAACGTGACCTAGGCTGGCCCCAAAGGCTGCCTAACCCACATAATCGCATTTGTCATGTAAAATGGACCATAAAACATGTATCACACGACACTTTCATATTGTGACCCCCCGGTGACCTGACCTTGCTGTGACCTGACCTGGTATCAGTGACCTCAGATAGCAAAGTATGTGTTTGACGAGCAATGTACCATCGATGGTTTTCAATAAATTACCAATTTACTCGCTTTCACAGCACATTTCTTGAATTGCCTGTGAACGGTGAAAATCTGACCTTTGACCTGACCTGTGACGTCATCGGTTTGACCTAGGTCAATGAAATTTGGTCACAAGGTAGTTCCCGGGTAGGGCTATCAAACGCCGTTTGAATTTTGAAAATCGGCCTGTAACTTTCCGAGATCTTAGGGGGGGGCCGAAACGGCCCCCCCCCCCCTACGGGTGGTAGGGTCCGCCGGTAGCCCTACGGGGCGCGGGTTAAGGTGGGAGTGTCCCTTTAACGTGCTGAAATATCAAAAGAAAAAAACATACACACACTATATAGACAGTCAAATCTCCGTACCGATATGCATTGCCGGTACGGGATTGTAGGCGCCGTGGCGTAATTGCGTATCAGGCATTCGTCACACACAATTTGTTCGATGCCTGCCATATGCGTTGTACATTTCCATGAAGTCATGGCTGAGATATTCGCGTACTTCAAATCTGAAATCACCATCCAGCGATAGGTATGCTGAGCGAAAATCGGTCAAGTAAGCCAGCTGTCCGGCTCTATCTAGGTATAACAAACGATGCCAGTTCCTTTGAGACAGCAGGATCGGTAGCCTGACGTCAGGTCTTCCGATTCACTCCGGAAAATCAGGTCCTCATGACTGTTGGTAGCCTGTCCACAATATTGGACATGCCACAGAGCGGCAGCATTTATAAGAGATGACTTTCGGGAAACCGTTCATTTGTCACCAAATGGTCCATAGGATATGACGCAGAAAACAGAACGGCTCTGGGAATGCACTGACGGCGATGTGGCCCGATTGATTTATGCTCGGTTACCATAAAGGCAATCGCAGCCTGTTCCACGATAGTGCCTTGCTTTCTTGAAAATATGCATGGCTATATTTCGGGAAAAATATATCATTGACGTACCTAGGCATGAAAGCCCAGTTTGTTTTTTATATAGTTCTGCGACAATCGTTATAACTGGCGCACTCTGAACCAAAGCCTCGACGCGTTTAGTGTACATCGTTTTCGTAGACGAGGCATATATCCGTGCCTGTGCGCAGTCAAATCCGTTCGTAATCGGTAAATCTGTTAGTCGCTTCCATGACGATCGCACAAAAATCCACTTCAAAGCGGGCGCAAATACATAATCCCCAAGCCAAAACAGCTACTGATTGTGTCCGCGGCGCCGGGCCACCGTTTGACATCACGTGCAACTGTTGGTTTCCACCACCCCTCGCCGGATAACGGCGCTAATCCGCGGGGTGGCTCGTTCGAGCACCTGCCGCTCCGATAGCGGCCACTGGCGTGTCGGGGTGCCGCGCACGCACATCAGCCGCGCGCGTGCCGACTGAGCCGCAAACCGCCCGCTCTGTGCTGAGCCGCAAAACGCCCGCGCGTGCTCCCCACGCCGACCGAAGCCGCGGACCGGGACCGGCGGCCGGGAGGGTGGTCAGATTCCCGCTATGGGTCGGTATCTGCCGTGAACTTCCTGTATCTGTGGTAACCGCTAACCTCTCATCCCCAATGATCAGAGCCGTACAATGAACGGGGCACAGCATCCGTTCTGAGCCTCTTTCGTGTTTCGTTCTTCCGTGTTCGTCGGTGGGTCCGAGATGTATGGCGCCGTATGTCAAATGCACTGTCATGTTCGAAAAGTATACACACAAAAAACTTTTACAATGTTCATGATTTTGCCAAAGTCCGAGACAGCATTGGATGATTTTGCAAAACACTGACTTGAACCATCGGAATGTTGCTCCCGTCAGTGGCCAGTACGATTCCACGCCGTGTGGCTGGCCCGTTGGTTGCTGAGCTCTGATTGGTCGCCGAGGTCACGTGACTCTGTGACCTGGGGGCGCGGCCGGCCGGCGGGAGGTCGGCCGGGCCGTCCAGTCCGGTGCGCGAGCTGGAGGGACGGGGTGGCGGCGGACGCAGGGGCATGGCCACCACGCGCAGAGAGGAGTCGGAGCGACTGCTGGGGCCGGGCGGGTCGCCGGTCAGTGACTATGGATCCTGTGACGACACGGTCGGTTCAGAGTGTCCCGCCGACTCCGAGTCAGCCAACTCCAGCGAGGACCTCTCGCACAAACCGGAGAGCGACCAGAGCCTGGCCGCTCACAAGAAGCGCTCCAAGTTCAACTGCCGCCAACTAATGTTTCTGGGAACGCTGGCCTCCATTACGATGACGTCATCTCTGTCGCTGTGCATCTTTCCACCGTTCTTTCCGAAGGTGGCCGAGAGCAAGGGCTTCAGCGCGTCTGTGTACGGCGCCATCATCGGCACCAACTGCCTGGTCTCGTTCGTCGTCACCCCGTTCCTCGGCCGCCACATCGAGACGATCGGCGTCGGCTTCAGCCTGGTGAGCGGCGTCTGCGCCAGCGGCGTATCCTGCATCCTCTGCGGCATGCTCGAGATGTTCCCGGCCAGCATGTCCTTCGTGTACGCGGCGGTGGCGATCCGCACCGTGCAGTCGATCGGCAACGCCGGCATCATCATCACCACCTTCACCTACACGAACCTGCAGTTCCCGCGTAGCACCGGCATCATATTCGCCATGAACCGGACCGTGATGAGCGTGGCCCAGATGTTCGGGCCGGGCCTCGGCGGCATCTTCTACGAGCTGGGCGGCTTCTACATGCCGTTCGTCGTGTTCGGCGCGCTGCACCTGGTGACACTGATGCCGCTGGTCTGTGTGCTGCCCGACCGGCCGGAGGCGGTCACTCCGAAGAAGGAGAGTCCCGAGACGCCGGTCAGACGGCGGCTGTCGCCGGAGACGGAGCGCGATCAGGACCCGCAGCCGCTGCGGCAGATGCTGCGCATCCCCGGCATCTGGGTGGCGTTCGTCTCGTTCCTGGTGTCCACACTCAGCACCGGCTTTCTGTCCATCACGCTGGAGGCGCAGATCCTGCGCAAGTACGAGCTCTCGCACATCTCGCTGGGGATGATGTTCGGCCTGAAGGACGGCGCGAGCAGCATCACCTCGCCGATCTGGGGCCTGCTGTGCGACAAGTTCCGCTGCGTCAAGGCCTACGTGGTGGTGACCTCTCTGACGGCGGCCGTGTGCTTCGCCGTGTTCGGCCCGCTGCCGGGAGTGCCGATCCACCAGACGCTCGGACTGCTCATCACGGCTCTCTCCCTGTACGGCGTGGCCATCGGTGGCATGCAGGTGTCGGGCATGGTGGACGCCCTGCGAGAGGCCACCGGCAACGGCATGGCCGACGACCCGACCACGCACGGCGTGGTCGCCGGCATGTGGAGCTCCCTGAGCGGCGCCGGACGCTTCATCTCGCGCTGCGGCGCCGGCATCCTGGTGGACACGATCGGCTTCCCGCGCGCCTCCTGCGTGGTGGTGACGCTGCACGCGCTCATGGCCGGCCTCGCCTCCGGCTACATCTGTCTGTTTGGGGAGAACCAGCGGCGCGGCCGCAGCGAGAAGTCGCGCCGCCGGCGGCCGGCGGGCGCGCGCCGCCGCTCTCCGGCCAGTTCAGACGACACGCCGCCGCCCCACCCCAGCGGCGCGCTGCAGGTGCCGCTGGTCACTCCGCGCGCCCGCTACACCAGCGAGGGCCGCATCACCTACCTGACCCACTCGCTGCCTGACGTCGGCGGCGCCAGCAGCTACAACGCCCTGATGGCCGAGTAGTGACTTGCCCAGCTGTACGTCAACAGCTGACCGCCACCAGGGCGCTGCTGTGGGGAGCGGAGCGGTCCGTGTCTCGCCGTGATGTGGCGTGCCAGCTGCTGGAGCCGGTGCGGTGGCGAGCAGCCGCGGAGACCACCCACCCAGTGCTGTGTAAAGTGAGGCAGTGCGAGACGGGCGCGCGGAAGCTGGCGACTCCGTGAGACACCATCCCGAGCGCTGAAGGAGATTGACGTCGACTCGCTGCACCGTTCTGCCGATACCGGAGTGCGGGTACGCGCGCCGCAGGTTATACCCCCACGAAGCAGCGCCGCTGTCCAAACGTCTCGTGACCAGCGTGTGAGGTGAATGATAGAAGACAGCCGTCTGTTGTAACCGGCGCCGGTCAACCGAACTCAGGATAAGGATGCTGACGATACGCACGCATAAAGCGAGACGTCTAGTCTGTGCTTTATATGACCTCGACTATGGTTGTTGTGGAGTGCCAGTTGATCGTATATGTATTTATTTATCAATTGTATTTATATTGAATCCATTTGATCGATTGGTGCGTAATGTATTTCAGACAACTGTTCACGATCCCTTATGTACAGGATGCAAGTGTCTTATTGCAGTTGTGTGCATCATGCGTGCTGGTAACGCATTATGTTCCATTGCAGTTGGAGTAAAATGTGGTTCTTTTGCATTTAATTTAAACGTTTTGCTGGTATGGTTTATTTGGTAGGTACACACTACATGCAAATAAGACACAAATGCATAGAAACTGGCCAACTAAAAATGTTGTTTTGAGATGTTTTGAGAAGGATGTATTGGACAGAAAAGTAGATACAAAGATTATATTTCATTCTAATAAAACTAAAACGGTAGCGAGACAGAAACGTTGATGAAGAAAAGTAAAACGTGTGACCGAGCGGACAGCGTCTCGCTATATTTCAGCATTGACGTCTTTACCATACCGACACATGCCGTCAATAGACGCTTATCAGCATTTCCTATGACGCAGCGATTTTACCTCCAAATGCTGGCACCTGCACTCTACGGATGCAATCCTGAGTGAATCTAATACCTATGCATACACCGGCGCTTCTGGCCCGTGACCCGATATCCCGGCCGCCCGCGAGAGCTGATGTCACCGCAGTGACAACGTACGAACAGATAAATACAAGGAAGACATTGCACTACAGCATGCACTATAGGAGGCGTGATGTCACTAGTGCACAGGTGTCCTGAAATCAGTGACTGTAGTGGCCAGCGTGACACGTTCTCTTTCTGACAACGCCGGGCTCGGTGACACGTCTACTTCCGTTCCAGTTTCCTGCCGCAATGCCACGTCTCATTAGTAAGCCATCGTCAAGGGAGGTCACTTCACAACGTCACGGGAATGGGGGATATTCCCGAATGGTGACGTCATGCAAGGATGATGTTACGTCATTGTGTTACGTCACTAGTCCACCGTCATCTCCGAGCGGCCGCCGTTATGGAGACACGTCATCATAGCTGACGAGGAGGGACGGGGAGGGTAAAGGACGGACATTAACAATGGCGAGGGAGGGGACGATGAGCAAACACATGTGCGAAAGGGTCGGGACGGGAGCGGAAGACATGACGATTTTATACCACACATCTGAAATAGAATATCATGTTAGGGAATAAGAGGGGACGTATCGAGAAGGTCCGAGATTCTAGTGATGAATGTCATCCGCACACTACTCGGGATAAACGACGGTAAAATCGAAATCAGAGATAAAATAAAATTGTTATGAAACAATAATTTATCGTGTTTTATCGTGCTGTTGCCAAACCAACACTCCAACGTGAACGTTTTATATTCCGACATAAGAAATAACGTGGGCAGATATCCAAAAAAAATTCAGACTGGTCAAATTTTAACTATCCTGGCACCGTTAATATTTTTCAGCGACTGTTTCTGACCGAAAAGGATCCGGTCTCCCTGTATTGGACGGGCTCCCCAGCGGCGGCTGTTCTCAGGCGCGATCCCACTACTGCCCGACACGGGTACTTTTGGCTGCTCGGTCGCCCGCCTGGCCCGGTACGCACCTCCTTAGTCAACCTGGCGACCCCGGATTCCTCCGGGGGCCCCATATTGATGCCGGGCTTAGTGCGGACACCCGATCGACACAGACCACCGCTGGAGAGGACTCCCGCCCTCAAGAGATCCACGGAACCACGCCTCCGAGTAGCCGGATTACAGGAGCGCGCCACCGCTCCCAGCGACGGTCAGGGTGTCTGTTATCGGTCGGCCCGAGCAATGTTTAGACAGTGGTATATCAACAATCCATGGCATTCAGCTCAGCATGTCGCTTTGAATGTCATCAACGAATTATCCCTGAGTAAGATTAGCTCAATATCTCTAATCATTTGCATAGATACCGCTCATTTGCTTGTATCAAGAATGTGATTCTTCATGTGGAAGCGCATCATTTGGACACGAGCGACTGGGTTTTGACCGTAATCCGCTCTTCGACTGTCATTACGAGCCAGTCGTCTAGATTGTCAGTAGTCGCGGCTCATTACAGAAACAATCGTCATTAGCGACCGATCCGGTGTGTGTTCCCACGGCTCTGAGAGCGCGCCGGTCACTGGCTGGGGGGGGGGGGGGGGGGGGGCGCTGACCGCGGTTGACAGCTCCGTACCGTTATAACTAGGCAGACCTGAGACGCAGTCAGACGCAGGGATCGGTCTCTAACGTCTATAGCTATAAATAGTTGAACGGTGACTGTGATGTGCATTTGGGGAGAGCATTCCTGATACATTTCTTTGACTGTTACTGTGCTCAACTTTGACTGCCAATGTTTTATGTTTTATGTGTGTTTTATGCACCCGTTTCAGCTCCCACTGCCCCCCACCGAGTTCCGGTTCAGTTCTGCGTCGGTGCAGCTCTCTCGGGCCCCGATCGACACACGCCCGATCGGCTGGGCGGAGCCGCCACACCGCAGTTTGTCGGCGGCGGCCGTTTGAAAGCTGAATGGAGCTGCGGCGGCGGACAGCGCGCCGGTCCCGGCCGAGGCCGGCCGGTGACGGTTACAGGCTCACCTCGCGGCGGCACGCGCCAGGTGCGGCACTATCGCGCCCGGCGAGCCGCGTTTGTGTCCGCCGCGCGTTCAGGAATGCGGCGCCGCCAGCTGCTGTGGCGCGGAGGTTTAAATCGGCGCAGGCCGGGCGTAAGCGGCGCGCGCCGCAGATGGTACCGGGGTGCCTGTGATTGGCAGCGTCAGCGTCTCAGGGGGGAGGGGGCTATCGCCCGCTGGGAAGTGGCACGTGGGGGAGGGGAGGGGCGGCGTGGTCGGGGGTCGTAAATTGGGGAGGGTGCAGGGTGTTTGTTCAGCTGCTGGCTTCAGTGACCACTGACCGTTGTGAGACACTTTGGAAACATATCGGACTGACAGTGGGCGTAGAAGCGTCAATAAAACGAGGCTGCAATTTTAGAGCAGAAATGATGTGAGCTGATGTGAGCTTAGGCACAATTAGGTGCCTACAGTTATAAAAAAATCTAAACAAAATACAAATATAAGCAGAGCAAGAGGCAGTGAGTTGTTCTTCAAGAGGATGCACGACCTCGACTCGAGGTGAGACCTCGAGGCTATGAAACGAAAAGGCAATTATCTCACACTTAGCTAACTTATTGTCTGGGGAGTGAAAATGCCATACTGCAACGCAATTTACTTGCAGTCTGTTAGAGTCACAGGCCTGATAGTTGACACTACAGACTCGTTTCAATGTTTTGGCCGATTGTTTTTCTTAGGGCGTTTCTCCCGTCAGCCATCCCTAGAACACTGACAATTTTCTGGTTTTTGCCTTCTGGTCTCGTCTGTAACTATCGCCGTGTCGAGTTTCGTCCTCTAATGCCGCCGTTAGCGTTCCCTCTCCATTAGGCGCGGGCTCGGTCACACGCTGTGGAACTAACCGCGGCCGCTCACAGCAATCAGTGTCGCCACGAACCGGCGCTGATCCGTCACCGAGCCCCTTCATCTCCGACTCATCCACGCGGGCGGCCACACCGTCTCCATGACAACGAACAGCTGCTCATTTCGGGCCGACCAGCTGCGCCAACCGTCCGGACGCACCGCGCCGCGCGCGCGATCGGGTCCGAAATCACGTCAGTTTTACAACCGCGAGCCAACGGCCGCCGGTATACAGCCGTCTCACGCGTGAGGGATCGGGAGCACATCTCTGGAGGCTGTTCTCCGGCGCGGCGGCCCTGATTAGCGTCTGGGAGAGTCGCCGCGCCGGCTCCCAGGCGCGAGCGCCATCTGTCAGCGAATGAGCGGCGGCCGACGACACGCGTCCCCCTCTGCGCCGCCAGCTGCGCGGAGAGGAGAGGGACAAAGCGACCGAGAGGCGCCGAGGAGCGTGTTGGCTCTCTCCATTGGGGGAGATGAATGCGCCCTGGGAAGCCATACGCCACCGGTTTGGCCGTCAGTTGGACGGGAGACACGTGCCGGAGCAGAGGTCCCCTCAGACACCTCCGACCCGCCGGCGCCGCTCGGCAAACCTGCAACGGCCGTTGGCAAACAGTCCCTCCCGCCCGGTGTGGATATTACGCTGTAACGGGCCCTATCGGCACCGCGCGGGGGACAGAGAGCATCGATCGACCAGTGGCCTAACGACCGCCACTTCCGGCACTATCCCGGGGGCGGCGCGACGGACCGACGCCGCACCTATCGACGCACGTGCAGGAGAGGAGCACAAACCGAGCGGGGCGGACGGACTGACCGGCAGTGGTGGTGTGGTGGCTCCGTGAAGTGGTTATCTGTGACGGAGAGAAAACTGACGGCTTCAGTGGTGACTTTCGGTGAGTTTGGTGGCCGCCGTGTGCCCGCGGGCGAGGACGCTGTCCGTTGTAAATACCGCGGACGGAGTGACCTTGCTAAAAGGCCTCGAAGTGTGCCAGTGATAACTGTGAGGACTAACTGAGGACTGAGGAAGACAAGGGCGTCGCGATGCGGTTTAACCGTGCCGAGGTGACCCGGCGACCGGTGCGAGGTCGCGGCCTGGCCCGCCGCAGTGCCGCTGACCTGAAGCCGATCCTGTCCCCGGCCAAACGGGCGCTGACCTATCAGCGGCGCAGCGCGCGGCTGCTGCTCTGGAGCGGCGTGCTGAGCCGCTCTCAGCTGCGTGACCTCGGCTCCAGCCCCGGGCTGGCCGCAGTGCCGCTGTCGAGGTCACGGCTCGACGTGACCTCGCCCCAGGGTGGGTCAGAGGCTGACCTGACCGGGCAGCGGGTCACGGACAGAGCGGCGGAGGATGGCGGCAGAGCAGAGAGTGGTGGTCGGGCAGAGGTGAACGGAGTGGAATACGGCGCTGGTGGTGGTGTGAGCAAGGGACACGAGACGACGGAAAACTCAGAACAGGAAGTCCGACTTCCGCAAGCTGACCGGAAGCATGGTGAGAATGTTCAGTCTATGTCCAAATCAAAGACGTCAAACGTAGAAGCTGCTCAAAAGGCCCCGGAACCCAGGGAAATAGTGAAGCCAGCCGACACGGGAGCGCCGCCAAGTCGCCGAGTTGCGCCGCCCAAACCTCCGCGGCCGAGCAAATCGGCCACCAACCTGCTGGCGTCGGTCACCAGCGGCCGGCGTCCGGGGCCCAGCACCAGGTCAGCTCCCAGTCTGCTGAGCGCCGCCGTCGCTCAGCAGTCAGCAGTCAGCTCAGCTGCAGCAATGAGCCAAACGGCTGAGAGGCAGCAGCACGAGCAAAAGCAGTCGCGGGAGCAGCAGCAGGAACAACAGCAGTCGCGGCAGCAGCAGCAGCAGACGGAGAGCAGCCCCACCGAGCTCACCTCCTCAGGTGGCCGCTCGGCAGTCGACCTCCCCCGGACCAGCGCCAAGGTAAGCTCCCCCTCCCCTGCCGCCCACCCCCCCTTCCCGTCGGTTCCGACTCTGCTTCCGGTTCCCACTGGAGCGTCCGTCGGCCCCGCGTGTAGTCACCCCCCCCCCCTCCCCTGGCCGCGCTCAAGGCTGGGGGTGGCTGCCCGGCTCATGTTGCTGTTAAGCCGGCGGGTCCGGTGTCGGTAACTGTCTCAGGCTCGGGAGAGGTTCCGGTGTAAGAGGGAGGGTAACCCATGTAAAGACATCCATTATCGCTTCGGAAAACGGGACGGTACTGGTCGCCGGTGATAGCTTGATGGGTCATTGGTCACGGTGTGAAATACGGTACTTTCAAGGCCATGCCGATAATTATGTTCCGGTCTCGGTCATGATGATGGTCAAAACTATATGTAAGAATCTTGGCCAAAACACAACTAACGGTGTATGATGGAGCCATTCTAAAGGTGCACTACGTCAGATGTATACATCTGGATATCGTATACGATACTGGACACGGATCATCCCGCTGCAGGAGTGATCCTTATCAGCTTGCAGTCGGCATTGCGGTGCTAGTGACAATTATAGGTACTTTACTTACCTATCGGGCTGAGATGATGCATTCGACAATGTTCTTCCTGCAGTTTGTCGTCCGTTGAATTTTGATTGAGGCCGTCCGAACACTCCCTGACTTACTTACGAGGGGGTATCGAAAAGTTCTGATCATCACCATGAATTAGATGTGATAGAAATTTGATTTTTTACATGATGTTCATTACTCCTTTACAAGTCACCACACACGACCGCAAACTTATTGCATCGTTTCTTGAGATGCCTCAGGCGGTCATTGTAGGACCCTCGCTTTGTCCCGTAAATCACTGCTCCACCTCATCAATGACGTCATTTCTGGCCTTTAATCACCGGCCATACTGTGGATTCTTCATCTCCTGTAACAATCAAGAGTCAGTTAATACCTGGTCAGGTGAATTTCTTAGATGCGGTAGGATTTAATGTCCCATGGGTGTAGTTTTCCAAAAATCATTGGGGGTGCTCAATAGCTTTCAGAAAGGCATGCCATATTTTTCGTAGGTCTTTTTTCAGCTGTTCTTTTTTACTGTATCAGGCATCATGCAAGAAATGTTAAATCGATTCGAGAGCTTGTTTTAATAGCGCCACTGTAAAACAATTTTGGCTCACCCAATGCATTCATAATCACGGAAGTTTTTGAACATATTTCAGAAAACGCTGGGTTTAAACTTTTAAATTCAGGCCCTACCGGACTTTTGGTAGGTCCGCGCTTAGGCAGCCTGGTCTGCAAAGGTCTGCACGAATGAGCTTATATTGAGGGCTATCCAACATGACGCCTGACGGGACAGGCTCGATGGTTACTTTCCGGACATGGTTCTCGTGAAATATTGCATTTTGTTCCTGGAATTTAAACCTCGCCGGCACAGGCCATTTTGCGTCCTTCGATGGCACAAGGGAGGGGGGGGTTGGTAAGACCCCCCGGTAAGCCAATGACCCAAAAGTCGGGAAAATCGGGGCCTGTTAGAAAGTCGTAAAGTGTGGCTGCTATGGGGTTTCCGGGGTGCTGATCACGAATATCGTGTTAGTTTTTATCACAGACAGGGGTGCCGGGTGGAGAAATATGGCGAGTTGGGGTTGCACGGGCGCAGCAAATCCGCCGCCGCCCTAGCGGTGACCTTGACCTCTGCCGTCTGGTGCGGCTCCAAAGCCAAGCCGGCGCAGCCGGCGTGGAATTGGGAAGGCTCGTGCTACCCCAACTCGGCACAATTCTCCACCCCTGAATTCACAGATGATGTCTTTAAGCATTTAGATCAGGTCGGGTCAGGTCAGGTCAGGTCAACCGGTAGGGGCCGTGACGGGTATTTGTAGTACGTGTCAACCGCCTCTGACAGCTTCGTAACATGTTACGAAGGCACCAAAACTACTTCGTAAATGTTCAAATGGTTGCTAAATTCGAATTCAGCTCGAAAAACTAGCCTAGAAACATGTAAAACTCGAAAAAGTGAACCGAGGTCACCAAAGGTAAATGACCTGACTTGATCTTCAGGTGACCTTGACATCCACCCTAATGCATTGGAGCAACAGCAAATCAAATGTTTGAACGTTTGAAACCACGAAAAACTTGCAAAAGCGCGGCTAAGGCAAGCCGACATACGCCGAATCGCGATTCCGGCCAAACATGGTCTCGGAAAGAAGGTCACAGGTCAAAGGTCATTTGGGTCAGGGTCATGAAATTTTTAGAGTAGGTGTAAAATTGATCAATGCGAGGGTACTGAAAGTTTCGTCGCGATCGGCCGCTTTTTACACGAGTTATTCGCGAAAAACCTTAGGGGGGTTGCATCAACCCCCAACCACCTCCTGTGCCGGCGAGGGTTAGATAATAACGCTATAGGTACTTGCCGTGCTATATTTACCTACATTTATTTACTCAAAAATGATTAAATTTTATTAACAATATTTAAAAATAGCACATTGATTTCAATAAACGAAAGTCATAGATTTGCTGACGGATGCTGGGGCTCCTCATGAGGAGCATGGAGATGCCGATTGCCAGCTTGTCCACCTGCAGCGCGTCTCGAGCACAGGGCGATACTATGCGCGTTCAATGCTCATGTTAGGTCCGTCCTCCAATACCAATACGGAAGTGTCATTTGGAGCGGTGCAGCTCCAGTCACTGCAAACCTTTAAAGGTAGTGTGCCAGCTTTCCTGGACCGTATGGAGTTAATAGCCCAGATAAGGAGAACCGGATTTTTAGAACTTATCCATACCTTCAAAACTCATGGAAACGTCTTAAATTCTTCAAATTTTGAGTACCCCAGTGCGAAATTCGCCCCGACGGGTTGTCGGTCGTACCCCAACCACATTTCACACCACTATGAACAATAAATGCACACACTGAAATCGCTATTACCGATATGCTCATCCAATCAAGTTTCGATAAACCCGTTCATCATCAGCTCCTGCGGTTTCGAACACGCCTGTTAGGTGGTGCGGTAGACCGCGCCCAAAGCCAGGGCCCCGGTAACGTGAGGTAGCCGAGTCAGGGCAGCGTGCGGTGACCCAAGCCGGAGCCGCGCGTCCTCCCGGTGTCATGTGATAGCCCGGGGCTGCCCGCGGGGATGCGGTAGACCGCGCCCAAAGCTGCGGCCCCGGCTTGGGTCAGCGCACGCTGCCCCGACTCGGCTACCTCACGTTACCGGGGCCCTGGCTTTGGGCGCGGCTTCTGCTCATACTTTGTGGTGCGGTGGTGGTGCGTCGGGCTGCGCGCTCTGACTTCGGCCAAGAAAAATGCGTCAGCTGATCATTGTCATTTCTGCCACTTGCGTGTGGTGAAATGGGGTCATAACTTATGAGACGGCTTTTTCATATCAATTATTTTACATAAAATCATATTTCAAACCATAAATAATGTTCGACAGCCAAATAAAAGAAACAATACCAATACAGGCTTACAGTTTAAGGCTCGACATTGTGTTGTCTACGATTAGACAGCTGATAACTCATTCCCGTACGCGGTATGGTCGTAACACTATAATGACCTTTGCTTATTGTCACATGTGCGCCGCATTCGCGATTTTTGCCGACGCCTGTTTGCAGGTGAGCCCACTACAGTTGTTATACATATCTAAAAAACGATAAACTTTTAGGCGAAAAAGGCACTATTCCAGGCCCATTTTGATTTTCTTTGCGATATTAGGTAAAAACAGAAGCTTCTTATCCCAGGAAAAATAAAATGGGAAATCTTTCAAAGGTGGCACACTACCTTTAAAACTGAGTTCATCAAAGCCCGCCTCATTCATACCGATGTCATGTTCTTGTACCAACTCCTTCACCACCGTACCGACTGCGCTTACCTGGTATCGATGTTTGGCCTTAACCCTCGACAGCACGGGGGGGGGGTTGATGCAACCTTCCCCCTCGGTTTTTCGCGAATAACCCGCGTAAAAAGCGGCCGACCGCGACGAAACTTTTAGTTTTAGACCTACTTTCCGAGACCATGTTTGGCCGGAATCGCGATTCGGCGTATGTCGGCTCGCATTAGCCGCGCGTTTGCAAGCTTTTCGTGGTTTCAAACGTTCAAACATGTGATCTGATGTTGCCCCCATGCATGGTGGATGTCAAGGTCACCTGATGGTCAGGTCAGGTCATTGACCTTTGGTGACCTCGGTTCTTCTTTCGAGTTTTACATGTTTCTAGGCTAGTTTTTTAGCTGAACTCGAATTTATCAATCATTTCAACATTTACGAAGTAGATTTGGTGCCTTCGTAACATGCTACGAAGCTGTCAGAGGCGCGGTTGACACGTTCTACGAATACCCGTCACGGCCCCTACCGGTTGACCTGACCTGACCTGACCCGACCTGGGCTAAATGCCCAAAGACATCATCTGTGATCAAAACTAACACGATATTCGTGATCAGCACCCCAGAAAACACTTTATATTTAGCAGCCACACTTTACGACTTTCTAACAGGCCCCGATTTTCCCGACTTTTGGGTCATTGACCTGACCTGGAAGGTCGGCCGATGATCTAGGACCTTAAAATTGGATATCATCGGCTTCCTCTCGTGACGGGCAACACGCTCGTTTTTCCTCGAAGCTCTAGCTCGATCAGGGGCCAAACGCGAGGGGGGGGGTCGTACTAGCCCCCAACCCCCCTTGTGCCGTCGAAGGACGCAAATTGGCCTGTGCCGGCGAGGGTTTATGTGCCTGGGAGGCGTAACCGCCGCACGGGCTTGTTTCATGTGCCCTTCGGGTGAGTGAACACCGTAAAGAACTGTCTTTCTGTGCATATTCCTCGGTTGTGCAATCAATTTTTGACACAAGGTCCGTCCGTGGACTTTTACCACCCTTCCACGTCTTTCCGGCGTGAAGCTTTCCAGTACGCCCGAACACTGGGCACTGGGCAGCAATGGGATCTCTCTGTCATCATGTCCCACTTGACCCAGGTTGTACTGAACTTTAAGAATATTACAGAAAATTGGATATTGTTAGGC